AGAAAACAGCACCCCTTCCCTGAGAACTTGACTGCCAGCTGCGGAAGGTTATCATATGCACTGCTTCTGTTAGGACAATTGCCTGCTAACTGCAGAAATCTGTATGAGTGACGCACAGAGAGACAGAGCTGTGTAAACAGCATGGGAAGCAGTATAATAACATGTGCCATAAGCCTCGCGCGGGACCTACCCTGTGTTGGCGGTGTATCCTTGGCCAGCGTGCAGGGCCTCCGCCTCTTCTCCTTCCCGAAAACCCACATATTACCGGACTTTTGTAATGTTTCAAACACTCTTAATAATGAAGTGAACTTCTAACTGGCCTTTGGTGTAAATGGAGAGTTCCGATTTGGACGCGTCAGGTGGCCATGGTGGGGCCTGGCACGTGCCCAGGACGCCCCAGGGTGGCAGCTGTGAGAATGTTCTCCCTGGGAGTCGCGGAGGGGAGTCCGAGGCGAGGGACTTAGCAGTGATGAGTCTGTGTCCTTTCTCCAGGAAGCTGTGAGCCGAGAGCGAGACCTCGAGCTGGAACGGGAGAGAACCTGACGAGCCCAGCCGAGCCTTCTCCCCACTGTCCTCAGACGCTGTCCCCTCGCCTTGGCCTTCGGGGGACCAGGGTGACACCCACGATCAAGCCTGTTGGTGTAGAGGGTCCTGCTTCCCCGGGCGAGCACCTTCCTGTCTTCACATCCTCTCAGCTTCCACTCCCCTGCTCTGGACAGACGGGCGGACAAGACGGGAACTGGGGAGCACGCAGCACAGGCCTCCTGCTGGCGGGCCCGGGGCCTTGCTCCCCCCCAGCCCCAGCCCCAGCCCCAGCGTGGGCCAGATGGGTCCCAGCCGCGGGATCTAGTCCACGGGGCAAAACTCTGGAGGGTCCGGCAAGGCTGAGCCATGGACATGCTCCCGTTTCCTGTGGGGTCAAGAGACCAAGTTCTTGAGTTTTGTTTTCCGTTCACTAAAGGCTCCACGTGGACTGGCCGCCGCTCGGCCGCCTCTGGAGCCCCTGATGGAGCTGAGGCGGCAGCAGCCTCCCCGGCTCTGGCTCCGGGAACTGGGGGGCAGCGAGCGGGGCTGGTGGCTCTGGCCTCCCTGAGTCCGTGTGGCTGTAGAGGAAATGGGGCCAGACGTCCCTCCCCTCCCCCAGCCCGAGTGAGGGCAGACTCCGCTGTTCACCCCGAAGTGAAATGTTCCACAAGAAAGACACCCCCAGCCTCAGTTTCCCCAGCTTGTCCTGGAAAAGGCGCCCCTCCAGGCCCGGATGGTCGTGACCTCCAGCCCGACCGGCCAGTGAGGGAGCCCAGGCTGTCCAAGGCCTCAGATGCATTTGCCTAACAAGCCCTTGAACCCCAAACCCAGGGGCGGGGTGGGAGGCGGCCCTGAATGGGGCTGGGCCCCAGGAGGACGAAGCAGATTTAGCCGCGGAGGGAGGGGGCCATATGGAAAGGGGGCCCTGGTGGAGCCTGCGCTTAACGGACACGAGTCCTCGCAAGCCCCTCAGAAGGCTGTGCCCGGAGGCTGAGCCACGGGGACGGGGAAGGAGGGTCAGTTTGCACAGCTCAGGAGTGCGTGTCCCTGGTGTGCAGGGGAGAACTGCACAGCGTAGTACCTGCTGTCTAGCTCAGAGTCCGGATTCAGAGCCCAGCTGCTCTCCTGCTGTAGTTATAAGTATCAGTAAGTCCCCTTATGTATTTTCCTTCATTTCCTTTTCCCCCATTTGAGGTAATCAAGAGAATTGTTCCTGCATTAGTTTCAGGGCTGCCAGATAAGATACTGGAAGCTTTGTTAAATTTGTGTTTCAGGTGAATAATGAGTATTTATTTAGTATAAGTATGTCCCCAACATTGCAATTATTATTATTTTTTTTGTATATCTGAAATTCAAATTTAACAGGGCCACCATATTTTTATTTGCTAAATCTGGTAACCCTAAGTAGCTCCTTTCTCCTTGTTATGCTCTTAAAAACAAAAACAACAAAACACACACGAATGGATTGTTTTTTGAAGCCAGTCACCTGCTTTGAAACGGGAGGCCTCACTGGAGCCAAGGCCAGAACACACTGGTTTTCCAAACAAGCGAATCGGAATGACAGTGGCGGTGCGGCCCTCTGTGGCCAGCTAACGCCCCAACTCACCAGGTCTCTGCTGACCTGTTGTCTCAGACTCACCCGCTGAGCGTGAGAATGAGAAATTAGCTTAATTATGTCCTGATGTTACTTGCCCGCCTTTCAAAGCCTTCAAAGCAGCAGGGTCACGTGCACTGCAGGGCCCTTGCAAACCTCCGTGGCCCACCCTCATACAGTGTCCCCCACCCTGTATTCCCAATGGCACGAAAGTCCCATAACCACTGAGGTCCATTAGCATCCTGAGGGCAGGACTGTGTCTTTTACATCCGCCCTGGCATGTGGTAAGTGCTCGATAAATGCTGGTTTGATATAGGAGTTAATGGGTTAAAGGCCTGTGAGGCCCGTGAGGACCGCTGGATTAGTCAGTAAGGGGGGCATTATAACAGGGTTCTGTGATCTGGAACAAGGCACCGCCCACTCTGAGCCTTAGCGTCCTCGTCTGGGAGGTGAGGATACTAGCACTGCCCTCTCCTCCCTCCACAGAGCATTCCCATGAGCATCTGGGCTCGGGGAACGGAAATGTGGTTTGAAAAGAACACAGGCCACCACACAACAGGGTCGCCTCCCCCGGGAGCCACGGCAGAACTCCCATGTGGTCTGAGCGGGGAAAGGAGGCCTGCGATGCCTTCCGGTGGAGACCACGTTTCCAGACCCAAACCACGCACTGGCTTCTGCCAAGTCTATCCTGGTTCTGAGGGACAGTTTGGGCGTCAGGATTTAAGGACGGATAAAACAGGTGATTGAGAATGAGGCCGGGCCCACATTTTGCTGGATGTAACAAGGAGCGGTCACCCTAGAGCCGCGGAGGTGCAGGATGTCAGGTCTGGAGGGCAAGTGTCTGTCTCCAAGGTCGCCAGCCTGTGGGCAGCCTCTCCCGCCCGAGGCCCAGCCCGGAGCACCTTTGTCACTGCCTCAGCAAGGTGGCACCCGAGGAGGGGACACCGGGAAAGCGTCCAGGCAGGGACCCCGATGGACGAGGAGGCCGACCTTGCAGCCTTGCAGGCACATGACCGGCCTGGATGTGGCTGTGGGCCCCCGTCTTGTCTCCACTGTGAGTGACCCACCTGAGACCTCTGTGCAAATTGTTTATTTGTCCAAATAACACAGTACAGAAACGAGACAGATGCCAGCATCGGGAGCTCATCCCAAACACGAATGCAGCTTAAAGAGCATCGTTCCGAATGAGAAACCACAAACGGAAGGTTCCTGACCCCCATTTAAAACTGGTTCCCATCCTTCACATTTGGCGCTGTGTTCCTGCACACCACCTAAGATAAACCCATAAATAGCATCCCCCCACCCCCACCCCCCAAACACACCCTTCTTAGCAGCAATAACACTAAATGACTTTCAGAATGTGATTAGTTGCGATTCTAAACTTTGCCTCAGGTTTGAGGTCAATTCCACCCAAGGCCTCTCTGCCCGGGGCTTCTCCTCCCCAGCCCCACCCCATGGTGCTCATTGACAAGACTGAGTTTGCCAGCCAGGTGTCAGCAGCCCTCTCCTGTGGCCAGGCTGTGGTCCTAGCCCTGCGGGCGTGCCTGTAGGTGATGGCAGTGGAAATGGTTTCCTGGGGCCAAGTTGTTGAAACTGTTCAGTTGGGTAGACAGCAGAGCCCCTCACGGCCCACACTTCACCTTTGGACACAAATGAGACCCTGCATGAGCTGGAAAACTGTCGTCAGAAATCTACAAATGCGCAACGCCCAGAGGTGACTGGCACTTCCTGGGCCAGATGCCCCTGAGCAGCGCACCGTGCAACCCATGGTGAGCCAGCTGGAACCCTCCCCATCTCCTGAAAACTACCGCATTGTGGCTCTAAGAACACTACCTGACGATGACACGGTGGACAAGGCACTATGCCATCTTCAGAACCTTCACACTCACTCCTCACTCGCTCTCGGCAAACGCCCATGGGAGGCACCGGCTTCCTTCCTCTGCCCGTAGAATTACAGGACACAGGGCTGCAAGGTCTGAGACAGCGAGCCCCAGTGCGTAGGTCTTTCCTCTCTGGCCTGCAGAGTTCCTGGGCGGCATCTACAAGTCCCTGTGGACCCTGCCAACTGAATAAATGATGTGTCGCACATACAGGCGCACCTGTGCAAATGCATGTGGATGTTCTGGCGAGAGGTTCAATGTACTTTTGAAACTAAGACTCATCTAAAACTCGCACCTGAAAAAATGTCAGCAGGTATTCATTCCCTGTGAATCAATAAAATACATGCCGGTAAAAAAAAATAATAATAAGATTAAGGACTTGGTAACTCTTAAATGAAAGTGAAAACCAGGAGACACTCAAGGGCACAAGTCGGCACCAGGGTTGTCCCAGAATGTAGTTTGGTCCAGTGCTTGTCGAGGTGGCTCCCCCACTTCCTCCCCACCCCACAGCGTAGAGACAGAACTCCTGGTTGTACAATTCCAGCTGAGGAGCAAGGCCTCCAGGGGTGCCTGACACGCTGCCTGGATCTGGAGTTCTCCAACTTTCTGTTCATTCATTCATTCATTTGGCGAGTGCCTCCAGCTCAGTGGGGAGGCTATGTTTAGCCGCAGCGTAAAAGCACTCACCACCCCTCTTTAGACAGATTTCGGAACACAGAACCCGAAGGGACACAGTGGGTCCCCTCCACCCAGAATCCAAGGTCTGAGGGGACAGGGACATGCAGGGTCTTGCAGCAAGTTTGAAGCAGGTCAGCAGTTGAAGCCCGGCGTCTCCTAAGTCCCAGTCCAGCGCTATTTCTCCCAACAGGGTGTGTCCGCCTCTCGCTCCGTGGGAGAATGCATCGTGCGTTCTCGTCTCACGCCCACGGCGATGTCTGTAGTTGTGTCTGGGAAGCAGCGGATGGGGACAATCATGGAGCATCTTCGGGGTCTCCTGGCAAAGCCACCAATTGCTTGGCTAGTTCAAGGGCACTTGAGTGCAAGGCACAGCTTTCAATCTGGACTCTGGATGTCAAGACTTGTGATGTTCTGAGGAGAAAAGGAACAGGTGTTAGCCAGAGCCCAAGGCGTCTGACAACAATAGACGTCTCCTTCACTCATCACCACACCACACCAGCTCCCCCTCCGGTCTCTGCTCACACAGGGCCTTCTGCCCACCATGCCCCCCTGGTCCCTTCTCCCCATCTATAGCCTCTCCGGCCTCGAAAGTGAAAATCAATGCCTGCCACCTCCTGGAAGTCTCCCAGAGCCAACTTGCTTTCTTGACCTCAGTTACCAGTAATTTGGCATGTAATTGATATTTAACTCTGTCAGCAGGGATCAGTCTGTCTTTTCCACTAGCAGAGCCTTCCACAGGCCCTCACAGCACCTTGCACACTATCTACTGGTTGAATGAGTAAGTGGATGAATGAATGAGTGAAGGAATGGTAAAACCAGAGGAAGGAATTAGGGCTACTGAGGATGTCAGAACTGATGTTTCCAATATCTTCCACAAAGAACTCAGATCGCTCTATAAACTATGACCTGCAGGGCAAGTGACCTGTAATATCCCCATTCTCGGGAGAAGACGGTAAGGCTGAGAAAGGAGAGGTGTGAGGTCACAAGGAGTTCTCACCGGGAGAACAAGCCACTGTTGGGCAGAGCATTTGAATAACAAGCAGCAAATATGTGTAGCTTGTAAGATTGAGCACATGGCTTCCAAAGGTAATTCATTCCAGGAGAGGAAGACAGAGTGTTTGAGTGATGGTGACAGCATTGCAATGACCTCCCATTTCCCAGGGGCCATTGGGATGTAGAAGTTCTGGTTCTGTGTGTCCAACACCAACAAACAGAACATTTCTTGCTTTTAAAGCAGCGGTTCTCAACCTGTGGGTCGCGACCCCTTTGGGGGTCAAACGACCCTTTCACAGGGGTCGCCTAAGACCATCGGAAAACACATATATAATTACATATTGTTTTTGTGATTAATCACTATGCTTTCATTATGTTCAATTTGTAACAATGAAAATGCATCCTGCACATCAGATATTTACATTACAATTCATAACAGTAGCAACGAAAATAATTTTATGGTCGGGGGTCACCACAATGTGAGGAACTGTATTAAAGGGTCGCGGCATTAGGAAGGTTGAGAACCACTGCTCTAAAGTCACACCCTCATTCAGTAGCTTCTGCTCTGCAGATCTGGGCCCAGTGTTTGTAAGCAGGTTATTTTAGGTGGATTTGAAAGGAGTGGGGGAAACTGTTTATCTGAGTCTTCCTACATGTGAAAACTCAGATTTTTAAAAACATCAGTGGTGAGTGTTATTTCTAAATGGGAATCTCAGAGTCTTGGGGGAGGGGGCAGCATGAGGCA